ATTAATAATTTAATTAAAATTATTAAATTTAAAAAATATAAAAATTAATTTTTTTGAATTATAATATAAAGATTAAATTTTTAAAATACAAAAAGTATAAAGATTTATAAAATATTTTGACCTATAAAATAATATTGTGATTGGTTGATATAGAACTCAACAAGAATCTCATTTCCGTAAAGTCAGAGAATATCAAGCAAAAAAAGACAAGAATTAACATTTCAAAAGGGTTCTTGGGATAACCAAAATCTATCTATAAAAGAAACATAAGCTTAACTCTCAAGTTTGTCAAATAGAGAGAAATTAAATAGTAGAAATGGGAAATCCTTATATTACAGAGTAATACCTTATCCACCACAAGGCCATGTCATTCCTCTAATGGAGCTGTCCCAGAGCTTGGTCAAACATGGCTTCAGAGTCACCTTTGTTAACTGATGGAATTAGCTAAGTCATGCCTGGGGAGCTGAAGGAGCTAATAAAGAAGATTAATAGATTAGAAGATGATAAGATCACTTGTGTTATAGCTGATGTTAATATGGGATGGGCACTTGAAGTTGCAGCAGAGTTTGGAATTCCTGGAGCTGCTTTCTGGCCTGCATCAGCCGTTTTATTGGCCTAGCTTTTTAGCAGCAAGAAGTTGCTTGATGATCAAGTTATTGATGAAAATGGTATTAACTCAACCTGCAGCATATCTACAAATATTAGTGCTTTTGTTAGTTTGAGACTGAATTATAAGCTCAGATTTTCCTTCCCCATTGTTGAAATTTGATTTGCAGGTACTCCAATCAATAAAGAAAAGATGATTCAATTGTACCCCAACACACCTGCCATGCACCCAAAAAATTTTTTGTGGGTCTGTCTTGGTGACTTCACCACACAAGATTATTTTTGAATTTGCTCAGAGAAACAATAAAACAATAAAGCTATTGCAAAAGCAGAGTGGCTTACATGCAACACAACTTTTGACCTGCAGCCTGGAGCACTTAGCTTAGTTCCAGATTTCCTGCCTATAGGCCCAGTTTCAGCAACCAACCAGCTTGGAGACTTGGCAGGAAGTTTCTGGCCGGAAGATGCTACTTGTTTGAAATGGCTTGATCAACAGCCACCGGGTTCAGTTTTATACGTGGCATTTGGCAGCTTCACGGTTTTTGATCCAATCCAATTCCAAGAATAGGCTCTGGGTCTGGAACTCTCAAACAGGCCATTTCTTTGGGTCGTCAGACCAGATATCACTGAGGGGACAGAATCCGATAACCTTCATCCCAAAGGATTTAAGGAAGGAGTAGCCACTCAAGGGAGGATGGTGGGTTGGACACCCCAACGTGCAGTTCTGGCTCATCCTTCCATTGCTTGCTTCTTAAGCCATTGTGGTTGGAATTCCACCATTGAAGGTGTAAGCAACGGGGTCCCTTTTCTTTGTTGGCCATGCCTTGCTGATCAGTTTATTAATGAGAGCTACATTTGTGACATTTGGAAGATTGGATTAAATTTTTAGAAAATGAAAGAGAGATCATTACTAGAGAAGAAATTAGGAGCAAGGTGGAGAAATTGCTAGGGGATGAAAGGTTAAAAACAAGAACTCTTAAACTAAAGGAATTGGTTATGAATAGTATCAATGAAGGAGGTAGCTCTGACAGTTTTTTCAAGAACTTCATTAGATGGATGAAATCATAGACAACTTTTCAATTTAGTTTATGCATTTCTTTCTTTGATCCTTAATTTCTTTGGAATTTTGAAATTTTAAAAAATGTTGGAATTTTAGCATTGTAAAATGCATCAATTCAAAAGATCAGAATTTGTAATTGTATTGTTAGGATAATTATTTTTTTTAAAAAAATTTAAAATATTAAAATTTGAAAAATAAAATTAATTATAATAGATAAATAATGATATTAGAGAGAGAAAAAGCAAAATATTAAAAATATATATGGGTGTCATTAGATTTTTAAAAATGTGTAGATATTACTAAGAATATAAAAAAAAATTTTAAAATTAAATTTATAATGAGTTTTTGTAATTAAAATTAAAGAAAACAAAAGTTACATAAAAAAGGTATAATAAATATTAACTTCTTACCATAAAATCAAAGAATTTCACAAAATTTATCTCCTTCAAAATTTCAAAAGAGAATTTGAGCCTCTGAAATTCTTCAATCATATTCTACAAGTTTTAACAATTACAATTTTATTTTATCAAATAAAGTAATTCCATTTTAGAATTATAAAAGGTCTTTTATAAATAAAATCCTTCCTTAAAATTTCTCGTCCAAGCGCATTCCAAAATAATTTTAAAAAGCCCTTTTGCAGTTTTTTATACCTAGAGCAAAGGAACTCTATGTCAATTTAGAATGTTTGAATAACATACAGGGGAAAATGTTCTAAATTGAGTGTGACATCTAAAATAGATTGAAAAATCAAGGAGGGAATCTACCGGCTAGTAGTTCCTTTACACCTGTTGATGCTATAAATGATTGCAATTTGCAGGAGTAAATTGTCATTTGGCTTTTGATAGTCGTTTTGCAATCTGAAAATGTCATGTGAAGAAGCTTTGAAGGTTGTTTTTCCTTTATTGGATGTCCTAGACCTTGAAGCTTGCATGGTGGTCTGCAAGCAATGGAGACACATAGCTAGAGATGATTACTTTTGGAAATGTTTATGTGCAAGGAGATGGCCTGCCATTTGCACGCGGCCCAACCCTCCTACTGTAACGGACTACAAACTGTATCAAACCCTTCATAAACGGAAGCACCAGCGAACTCTTCTCCCTCCATGGCTTTCCTTTGATGATTTGATTTGGAATTCTTCATTGACGTTTGGACTGAAGATAAATTGATTTTCCCTGAAGTTGTCCCTGGCCCTGTCCTCCAGAGTGCAATCAAGATCCCACCTGCTGGAATCGGTAACATGCTTAAGTTTCATCTTGAGGGTCCTGAGTAAAGATGACCTTACCTGTTGACCCAAGGTTAGCTGTTCCTTGGAGCCAGACTGCGAGTGTTTCAGTGCTTGTGGGGCGGAAGGACAACAATAAGGTTGCCTGCATAATTAATAAGTCACTGTTTGATTATATAGATCATGCGGCTTCTAGGGCCCTAGCTTTCGACTACCTTGACTTCTCTCCCAACTATTCCTTCATTTCGGGAATCCGGGCGTGGATCTCTTTGTTTTTTGTGGAAGATGGAAATGATGCTGTGATTGATGTTTTTGGCATTGAAATGGACTTTTGTGATACTGCCAATTCCGAAGAAGAGGTATTGTGGATATTTGACATGCTTGATTGGAAATGAAAGGTGAAAGCTTTTGTAAACTGGCGCAGGAAAGAAAATGAACTGGAAATGTAATAATAAGTTCAGCCTTCACCGTGCTTTTCATTGAGGATGTTCTTCCCTTGCCTTCCTGGATCTAGTGACATCATTTTCTCGCATGTTCATAAGTTAATTTGTAGAGTCGGATCTTTTTATTCATTGTAATAAATAAATATGAAGAGTTCCTGTGTTTAACTTCTGCATTTTCTATGGATCTCATCATCTTTTTGAATGACAATATCAGCTTGTTTGGTGACTGGTAAAGCCAATGTGGACAAGCACTGAATGTGGTGCAAATTTTCTGCTTTTGACTTACTTTGCCTCAGTTTTTGGCATACAAGTCATTTACCTCAGTATGCTTCTGACAAAGAGGCTGTGTTACACCAATTAGCATACGATTTTGAGTATCCAAAAAAATAATTATTAATTAAATTATTGGTAAATAAACTCTTAATGATTTTGATAGGTGCTTGTTCGAAGGACCAGGTACTGTTAACCTTCCATGTAGCAAAAAAAAAAAAGAAACACTGCTGAAAGATTTGATTTGTTATAATTTCTGTATCTATATTATTTTTATATCGCATCAAGTACATGTCAAATATGAAAATTATCATATTAGATTTGTGTCGACATATTAAACACAAATCAATTTTTTTTGTTTTGTCAAATTTTTTTGTTAAAATTTTAAATCATATTATTATTTTTTTTTATCATTTGATATGTCATTTTATCGTATTTAAAATTGTTAGGTTTGCATGCTAATCATACAAGGCCCTTTTATCCTATTTGTACGTGTTTTCTTTGCCAAAAAATGAGACTACCAAGGATTTGCAGGATGACCGCTGATCCTACATACACCATGAACAAAATAGACGAGATTTGTGTCAGCATCACCTTCCTTTAGTGCTCTGGTGGAATTACTATTTCGTCACTCCATTCCCAAATAACATTCCAATAGTCTTGAATTAAGTTGCAGGCTTCATGTAACCCGAAGGCCAAAACTAAGAGGTGCCATCTTTGCTATAGATAATTATCCACACAACACAAGAGCTTCTGCTTTAGGGCAGAGACGAAGCCAGAAATATGAGAAAGGAGAAGTCAAATAATAATTTTACTAGGAAAAAGATGAATGAGTATTAACTTTTGGTGGGTTGAAGTATTCTGCTACAATAGTGTAAAAAAATGCTACTCCCCTGATTTAGGGGTTAAAAACTTGATCTTAGTAGCTAATAACACGTATGATTCCCAGATGAATAGAGAAAAATGCAAACTAGAAGTCCGAAGACATGAAAATTGCTCAAATGTTGCCATAAACAGTCATTCGGTTCCAACCAAAGCTTTTGTTTGAGTATATTAATCGATGAAATTTTATCACTACATATTTTATAGAATATATATTTTTATTTACTTACCGAATATTTCCATACCCTTTATTTAATTATTTTTTAACCAAATTAAATTTTATAATGATAAATTGCACATGTTCAAAAATAAATTGTTTCCTGGATTATGCTTAATTAAAATGAATTGAAACAGGTCAACTTTTAAGTTTTACGGGTAAGGTTTGATTTGGTTTAGAGTTATCTCAATAGAAAAGTGAATCACTACAGTTGGATGTCAATTTGTAAAAATGGGATACAATTTTGCTAATGTTTTGCTGTAGTTCCACAATGGGAACACCAAAACACATACCAAATTTGCGTAAAAAATCATGCACACTCAAAGGTAATGCATAATGCAGGAATTCCACCACTACATTGTAAAGAAAATTTTCCTAGAAGTTCTTTTTCCCATCAAAAATTTGACCAAACTGCCAATTAGCCGGTGCCACATTATCGAACTCCACCATTTTCCCATCACTGGTAGTCACCTGTAATGATAAGCTTTGCCCTGTTAGCTTTGTTCCAGTCTGCCAATTCACTCCCCAGTTGCGGCTCATCTGAATCCACCCAGTTCCTGAGCCCTTGATCTTAACATCCTTAATATCACCAGCGCCTCCAACATTGTACATCAATACCTGAGTCCAGCTAGGGTTTCCCTTGACCTGGAATTGAACCCCACCTTTCTTGGAACACAAGACACGTCGGTACATAACAGGGATGATTCCAGCTTTGTATTGTGCTAGTTTTGTGAACATTGGCATTGATAGATCAAAGTGTTTTAATGGGGGATTGCACCAGTTTCCATCAGGTTTTGAGTAATTTGGGGGGCAAAAATTTGTTGCTGTCACTATGATGGTACCAGCGTTTGGATAACACCATTGAGGGTTATTCACACACTTGATTTCAAAACATGCACCACAGGTAAGTCCATTGTTGAATAGAGCTGTGCTAAGGGCTGTCGTCTCGAGTCCATACCCTTGTTTGAATAGATCACCATATCCACAAGCTCCCTCTACAATGATAATTTAACAATTATCTAATTTGAATAAAATAATAGTTCGTATATCTGTGTCTATTTGTTTTATATCTAACATGTGAATACAAAAATTACTGTATCACAATTCATATCCACATATCAAATACAAAACATATTTGTTTTATTTATTAAAATTTTAAATTGTATCAATTTTATATACATATATATATATATCTTTTCATATCACATTTAAAATTGCTTGAAGTAAATATTAATGATAAAAGATTGCACCTTACTCATGAAAGAACTAATAGTAGCAAATACATGTATAAAAATATAATGATAAACTTACCCATGGTTTCTTTACCCTCCATATCACCATAGAACGTTGCATGTGCATCATACCAAGTTGCATCAATATTTTGACTGCCAAAATGTATTTGCCTCTTGCCCATGGCTGCAGCCAAATAGACCATGAAAATGAGAAATGAAAAGAAACTCTTAAGGCTAGCCATTGCTAAAAAAAATATATAGAAAAATTAAATTAAATTCAATCGAAGCTTTGATAAAAAGCTGAGTCCGAGGACTGATATATAAATAATGGTCAAGGTAAGATATAAAAGGAAAGGAAAATGAAAATGAAAATTCAAAATAAGAAATGAATGAGGAAATTAAGAAAGAAATCATATGTTGTCATAATTTTGGAAAAAACAGCAAATTATTCATTCATCTCTTCTGTCTAATTCTTGTTTTTAGTCAATGTGACTAAAACTATTCATTCATTACCAAGACCATTAAATAACAATAATTTACTTTAAAAAAATAAGGCTTTTTAAGATTAAAAATAGTTTTAACCTTTCAAAGAAGATTGTATTATATAAATTATATTATTAAATACAAATAATAGTTAATATGTAATTTGATCCTTGAACCATATTATTTTTAATGATTTGGTACTTATAGAAATAAATCATGATTAGATACCCAAATTTTGTTCTTGTGAAATATTTTGTACCCTTGTCAAAATATTGAAATAGCAAATATTGATTAATAAAAATATGTGATATGTGATGATAATATTAATTATTTTTTGTCACATTAGTTTATTGTTAATAGACTAGTGTGAGATAAAATATTTTAACAAAAATAAAATTTGGATACCTAATTATAAAATTTTTTTATAGATAGTGAAATATATATAGTGAAAAGTGATATAGTTCAAAAATTAAATCACAGGTTAACCAAAAAAAAATTTTTTTAATAGAATCATACCCCTTGCAAATTGCAATATATATGAAGTCAAATTGATACTAAATTGTGTGACACCAGTAGTAATTAATTCTAGAATAAGATCGAAGTGAAATTCTTTTTTTTTTAAGCAAAGAATGGAGTGAAATTCTTTGTGTAAAGAGAATGTTCTTCCCTTCATAAATATAAAATAAAAAATGTGAGCTTCCCTAAATGTAAATTATTCTAAAAACAATAATTATTTCTATAAATTATTCCATAATAGTAATTAACTTCAAACCTTGTCTTAGTGATAGAGAAGAGATCTTAGAACTTTAAGATTTTAAGTTAAATCCACTATATGAGATTTGGTTTAACTTTTTGTTGAATTTGTTTATTTACTTTCTAATTTGTTGATTGATTGTTTAATAATTTTTTTATATATAAATATAATAATTGATTATAATTATAACTTCTCTTATTCTTATAATTTCATAAAAAAAAAAAAAAACTTTGAAAATATCCCTTATTAGATAGTTTTAGTTTATTACCCTAATTTTGTGTATCAAATATTATTATTAGGTTCATTTATTGAGGATTAAAATTTGTGATTATATTGAAGATAAGTCAAAGAGATTCTAGGAAATCATGCTAAAATTTTCTATTTAGCAATACTTATTGGATTTTTTGGTACATGAGATAAAAAAAAATTATTATTATCATTTGTGCGATTCAAAATATGATAACCGATTTCATAAATTTATGTAATTTTTTTTAAAAAAATTATACAATCTAGAAAAGTTATATTTTTTTTGGCTAATCAATGATGATTACAAGTTGTTAAAGATCCGATCGCGATTTTGAATATAGAATTCAAAGGAATTAAATTGAAAATAATATTGTAAATCATAGAATTATAATAAAATATACCATGAATCAACCAACATTTATCAAATTTGACAGTGCATTGCTGTAGGTATTATTTTTCTAATGCATTTGTTTGATTTATACAATCTAAGAACTCGTACAAATGCCTATAAATGTAATTTTCTTGATTTCAGTTAAACAGAACTTTCTGGAATTCAAGCCTAATTGATCTAAATTTAGCTTCTTTTTTTTTTTTTTTTTTCAAATTGGGCTTCACAGAGATTTATAACAGCCTACCTCATAGGTGCCCAAATGCTCCTAATTACATGTGGAAAACCTTAATACACGTTATAAATTATTTATTATTCTTGTAATTAAATGAATGGAAATGTCATTTGTATGATGTGGGAAAAAGCTGACAAACTAGGATATCAATAGATAGAGTACAGAGCAAAGAAAGAATTTCTTATTTTTATTTTTAAATTTTTATATTATATTCATTTTCATTTTCATACCTTACAATATTTCAAATATATTTCTATCTTCATCCTTATAAGTATTAAATAGATAGAGATAATCTTCATATCCACAATTTTTTAAAAAATTAAAAACCAAAATTTATTTTCTAATTTTTTATATTTTTTATCTTGTATGTTTATATTTTTTTTATAAATATATATTAATATAGATATTAAATAAATAAATATTAATTCTAATTAATCTAAAATAACAATTTAAATTATTTAATAAAAAATTTATTTACTAAATATATATATTTATATATTTATATACAAATATATATGTAGAGTATATGTACAGATACAGAATAGGTGTTATATTAACCTTCTTCATCTCTATATTTGATAAAAAATTTAAAATTATATTATCTCCATCCCCACATGTAATATTCATTCCCATTCCCACAATGTAATATCTATCATCATCCACATTTAGGTAAAAAATTCAATTCTCCATTGGGTATGGTAAAACTGACGTCCCAGACCATCTATGATTTCACATGGGTTTAGTGATAGATTACCCGAAATTTTGAAGTTATTTCAAATGGCCTGTAGTTGGGGTTAAGCTCTCCTATCATAGTTTTATGTTATGGTGTCAATGTAAGTTGACTTTGTACGAATTGCATTTGTATTTCGAGGTTCCTGATAGTATTGTTTTCCAGTAGAATATGCAAGTTACTAACCTGGGGAGGTAAAAAACTGGTGTTTATCATCTTTTTCAAGGACTTGTTTAGGACATACCTCGTTGCTTGAAAGAATGTTTTAGTTTTGAAGGCGGTTAGGATACCTTTTTTATATTATCTTTTCTGTTAAATGCATCATTACATGTTGCTGTTTTCTGTTTTCATAATATTGATATCTTGCCGCTTGATATTTGTGCAGCCTTTTTGTTTTGAACTTAATGGTGACCCACAGATACGTTGGAATTTAAAACTTAGTTCTGCCTCTTTAGCAGGAATCCATCAGCTATTAGTTCCTTAACACCTGCTGATGCTATAAATGATTGCAATTTGCCGGAGTAAACTGTCATTTGGCTTTTGATAGTCATTTTGCAATCTGAAAATATCTTGTGAAGAAGCTTTGAAGGTTGATTTTCCTTTATTAGATGGCATAGACCTTGCAGCTTGCATGGTGGTCTGCAAGCAATGGAGACACATAGCTAGAGATGATTACTTTTGGATATGTTTATGTGCAAAGAGATGGCCTTCCATTTGCAAGCGGCCCAACCCTCCTATTCTAACATACTACAAACTGTATCAAACCTTTTAAAAACGGAAGCATCCGCGAACTCTTCTCCCTCCAAGACTTTCCTTTGATGATTTGATTTGGAATTCTGCATTGACGTTTGCACTGAAGATAAATTGATTTTCTCTGAAGTTGTCCCTGGTCCTGTCCTCCAGATTGGAATCAAGATCCCACCTGCTGGAATCTGTAACATGCTTAAGTTTCATCTTAAGGGTCCTGAGTAAAGATGACCTCACCTGTTGACCCAAGGTTCCCTGTTCCTTGGAGCCATACTGCGAGTGTTTCAGTGCTTGTGGGGCGGAAGGACAACAATATGGTTGCCTGCATAATTAATAAGTCACTGTTTGATTATATAGATCATGCGGCTTCTACGGCCCTAGCTTTCGACTACCTTGACTTCTCTTACAACGATCCCTTTACTTCGGGAATCCGGGCTTGGATCTCTTTGCTTTTTGTGGAAGATGGAAATGATGGTGTGAATGGATTCAAATAACAGTGCAACAGCAGTATAGCGGCCACTATTTGGCGGAATTGGCACCCACCGTCACCGTCATTCAATCGATATTGGATGTAAAGAAAATTCACGTCTTTAGCAGTTAATTGAGCCGCAAAAGAAAAAGCTTAGTAGCGACAATAACGAGACGCAATTGGCGCTATTTATGTTTTTGTTTTATGAAGAATTTTTTTTCATCATCAAGCATTAAAATTTTAAAATTTAACAAAGTAAAGTCTAAACACAAAAAAAAAATTCTAAATTTATAATGATTCAGTATAAAAAAGGCTCAATCAAAAATCAAGAAAAATTAATTGAAATCAAATAATAATAAAACACTTAAATTTATAATTTTTTTTCTTATTTAAGTGTCTGCAAATCTGCGTTGTATACAATTAAAAAAATTTAAACTTTAGAGAGATTTTGCTTGAAACTTTAAAAATTTTAAAAACCCATCTATGAGAACTCTATGGGCATGGGTTTGGGACTGTGTTGGTTGGATCAAAGAATAAATCAGATGAGTCATTAGGTGGAAAGTTGAATGAGGGTGAAAGCTTGGATGCTGATTGGTTGCCATGACTGGTGGATGATTTGCGAGAATGAAAGAAAGCAGGGGTTGAGAAAAAAATGAAAGAAGTTTGAGTGGAAAAGACTTGAAAGATATTCAGTCGATTTTCTTGATATTCTTGTTGGGGCTTTAAACACTAATATGTAATAAATTAGCAAGCTCGATAGAACTGAGTTTATTAAAGTCACTCTTCCTCCAAAAGACAAATATTTTCTTTTCCACATCGCAAGCTGAACTGCACCTTGTCTATGATTAGGGTCCAAACTCTAATCCTTTTAGGATTAGCACCTATCAAGACACACCTAAATATTTGAGTGTAGCGGGGAGTTTAGTGTGCATTAAGTTCGATCAATTCTTGGCCAAACAAAAAAAAAAATTTAAATAAATTTAGGGACAAAATTTTGGGAAAAAATAATTAGTTAAAATTAAAAAGTTTTGAGAATTAATTTTGACTGAAAAATTTGAGATAAAAAAGTTTAATGTAAATTTGAGAGGTATATTATATTACAATTTAGATGAAAAAAATAAAATACTAAATGATTAATATATTAATTTGATTTTTTATATCTATTTTTATTGGGATTTTATTAATGATTTTATTGTTTTAATATTTTTATGTTGTTAATTTTTTAAATGTGAATATTTTACTATAATATTAAAAAATTATAAATAATTTTTTACATAAATAAAATAAGATAAAGTGTCATTAATTACTTTAAAAATCATGAA